TTTGTATACTAAATTTTTTTATACAAAAACCTCTGTAGATATATATAAATTTTTTTATAAACAAAACCTAAATAATTTGTTAAAAGTTTTATATATATATATATGAACTTTGTTTAAGTAATTTTATGATGAATAAACTTAAATATATTGTATATATATTTTTAAATACAGTCCTTCATTAAACTGTGTGAGGTCTCTTCACTAATTAGAAGAGACAGCCTAGAAGTTTTAAATTTTTTTTGTCCCGGGAAAAACGTAGGTATTATAAATGCAAATTTAAAATAATTTATGACAAACTATTAATTATCATATTCATTTATATATATGATGACAAAAAGAATAAAGATTTTAAAAGGAAGAGAGGGATAAAATAATAAAAAATAATAGAAGTAATAAATCCTATAATAAGAAAAGAAAAAGAAATATAAAAGTATAAGATAAATGTGAAAGGCAGAATGTGAAAAAAATAGAATCAAGATTATATAAAAAGTGGTATATGTTATTACCTAAGTTAAAACATCTAAACGCAGAAACACAGCAAAATGTCAGTCTTTCCGGTTACATATTGTTGTATTTTTTAGAAGTACAAAATGGTATAATTCTTTATACGTTGTTACTATTATATAGTTAATCAAAATTAAATTTTTATTTTGATAATCTGCAATAACATTAAATTTTTTTATTAAAATAAAAATTAAATTTTAGTTAATAAATAACACTAAAAAAATATGTAAACTCAGACTAAGATTAGCAAAAATTATTGAATAATCATGAGTCTTATCGCATCAAAGCTGATTTAGAGATTTGTTTTACGACTCCAACATTATACAATACGATTAATTAAACTCAGAATGATGAAATGCAGAAGTTTTCAGAATTATGGCAGGAATGTTTCAATTGGGGGATTACTTTTTCTAGATATAAAAGCTTACTAAGAAAGAAGAAGGTCAAAGAGGCTAGATTTGTAAGGTCTTTATAATTACACAGAAATAATGTCATTTGAAAAAATGAATCTGTTAATATATATATCATGCTATATATGGAGGTGATAAATTTAAGATTCTCAGCTTAGTTAAGAGTTAGAATGATGAGTTTTCATTTTTCTGTTTTTGAATGTGTAAAAACTATGAATACTTTGTGAAATCTTGTGTATGGGTTAAGATATCTCTTGTATTTCATTTAGTTTTATTTTTTCTTATATACAGAAATCAATTAATAAATAATCAACCGTATTAAATACTATACATTGTTTGTTTGTTTAAGAAGAGCCGAACTCAAAGTGAGAAAGAAATCAAGTACAGTTTTTACTTTATTGGGTGAGACAAAATGCAGGAGTATTACACGGAGAGATATTTAAAGTACACCAGCCTAAAGGACCCTCAAGCTAGCATTTTTTGGCTACAAATTAATTTTATTGGCAAATTCACATTGATATCTGAGGGTGCTTTTTCCCAACACCAACTTCCTCACTTTTTTCCTTTTTCGTCTGATTAGTGATTTCATTGGCAGCTGCTGCGAGCAACTGTATTCCCTTGTCAAAATCTGCTTTCTCCTCCTTTGCTTTTGCACATCCAGCAGCAACCGTTCTTGCTTCCTGAAACCATATTCAAACAATTGGAAAAATCAACCAATAGTTTAAAATGAATTGCTCAAATAAAATCATTTATCTTTACTGATATCTAAACATTTACCATGGATTTGTCGGAAGGATTTTGCTCGTTAATGTAAACACGAGCAGCAGCATCCTACAATTTACATGAATAAAGGAAAATAAAAGTACCAATGTAGGTAACATAAAGAAAAGAAACAATTGATATCAAACTTTATCACAATTCAGACCCTTACCCTAAGCAATTCCAGCTTTTCTTGACTTACTTCTTTGGTCTGCATGAAAGCTGGCCTTTTAAATCTTGCTGGTCTTCTGCTCATTGCCATTGATGAATTTTTTCTTCTTATGGTAAAGGTTTATAATTTTCTGAGGGAGAAAGTGTTAAGACAATGATGCTATAAATAGAGATCTATGTATGAACTAGGAAGGGAAACCATGCATATATATATTGTGCTAGATAGCTTGGTTAAGGAAGCAAACATTTTATGCATAAATTAATTATATCTCTGATCTGTCTCTCTTTTCTTCTATCTACTCATTTTGCATACTTCAACTTCAACTTCAACTTGAAACCGGTCCTAGCAGGTTCTATATGCACATGAAATAGCGGTTTCACTGGAGCCCTGGGTCAATGTGAACGTTAAAGCTGGGCAGCAATGTAGTATGTAAAAATGGGCCATATTACCTGTGTAACTATCTCTTGTTATAAATTTTTATTTTATTTTGTTAACCGCCAGTCTTAAAAGTTGATTTTCTGCATACAAAGTTATAAAAAAATTTAATTTAATTTGAAAATATGGTTAATATAAAAAATTATTTTTAAAATTAATTCTTATAAAATTTGATTATTTTAACTGATCTAATAATTTATAATTGAATAATCTTATAAAAAATTATACAGTTAATACACTTTAATTAAATTTTAGATTTTTATTAAAAATATTTGTTAACATAAAGACTGGTATCAATATTTTTCTTTGTACAGTACAGTTTTTACTTTCTAGAAGTTGAACAAGTACATTTTAAAGAACCTCGAAAGTTTCGCACAGACGAGAGTGAAGCAAATAATGTGAGGCAAAGACATGTAGACTCCTCTCCTCGGTAAACACAGAAAAACACACTTGCGTCTGAAGTCAAAAGAAACCGTCATTTATGGTGTCTTATTGGCGCACCTTGTCTTTTGAAGTGCCTTGTTGTGTCGATCAGATAACTCAAAGCTTAGCTGTTGAAGCCTCACGCAATCAAGCCAGTGTTGCTCACGTTATACTTACATGTATGTTTTTGGTTATGCCAACTTCAGCATCATAAAGAAACAAAGGATTTTTGTAGGTCCACCAATTTGTCTATGTAAGTAATTAAACTGCTATTTTCAATTATCTGTAAACACAGAATTATAATAATGTAAGTCAAATTTCATCTGACACACCGAAACAAACTCAAGCGTTTTTTTGGGTTGATATGATTTGTCTGTTCTATATTTATAATTCATTTAAACTTGTGATCTCATCATAACAAAGGACAAAAAGCGCATTGCTTTTACTTATTTTTTTATATGTTACAGTTTGATTAAAAAAATGATAGTGTTGATTTCCTCTTGTTGAGAGCAAAAGATAAAGTACATTGTAACTTCAAAAAAATAATTAAGGACCTCATTGGTTTTAAAAGAAATTATAAATATTTGAAAATTAAAAATTATATAAAATAATATGTCAATTTTTAATTATTAATGAAAATATAAAATGGAAAAAAAAATCAAATAAACAACCACAAGTTGCAAACTAGCTTTGTGTTCTTTTGATATTGAAAATGAGGATAAAAAACATATACTCCACTTTCATGACAGATTCAATGTGTGTGGTTGTGATAAAGTTTTATTATCACTTTTTTCAACTTATTTTTATTTAGAATATCCTTCTTATAATTGTTTTTATCAAATTAATAAATGTACAGGTAAAACAATAAAATTTTCCTTGATTTTGACCTCTTATATATGTAAAAATGTAAAAAAAAAAAAAGAAAGGAAACGTTCATTTCATATGTAAGAACCATTAAATTCACTTGTCTCTTGCATGTCATATGTGTTCACTTGTCGGTTGGGTTAAAATTGACAATTAAAAGTTTAATTTAACAATAGTATATAAGTTTGTTAATATTCACATTTTAGTTTAGGAGATAAACAATATTGCAGTCTTTCTAATCTCAGTTAATCTATTCGGTAGCTGTTTACATTAGGGTTCAGTGTATATTTATCTTGAATCATATACAGAGAGAATAAAATTTTAGTAGAAATTCTTTTTATTTTTCTACATGATGTTTATCATGTATGAATATTTTTAATTTATTTAAGAATTAGATGAACTATTTTCTTTAGAAAAATGTTAACGTCAACTCTTTAACAGAGTTTAAATAATTATTAATAATAAATTTTTATTTTAAAAATTACTAAATATAATTTTATAATTTTAATATAATAAATATTCTTTATTCAATAAAAATTTATTAATGTTAAATTTTTAAATTCAATTTTAAATAATAATATTAAAAAATTAATAGATGTCAAAAGATACAGGTATTAATAAATAATAAATTTATATAAAAAATTGTAACATTTAAAGTTATCTTTAATTGAATCTTATGATTTCTATAATTTTTTAATAAAATTAATTATTATGGAAAGTACTAAAAATATTTTCTTATTTATTAGTTAAAATTTAATAAAAAATTTTAAAATATAAATAATTGTTAAACTTGTGCAAGATTGTTCAAGTAAAAAATTATACATAGTAAAATTTTATTAAAAACTATAATATTTAATAATATCAATGTATTAAATTATATTAATTTTATATTTTTTGAAAATTATAATATATAATTTTTTATCCTCTATAACATTATTCATGTTTTAAAAATAAAATAAAAATAAAAATAACTAAATTAACCAGTAAAACATGCTTAATTTGTATACTTTTGAAAAATTTTAATTAACATTTATCTCTTAATAGTTAAATTTAAATTCCGCTAATTTAATTTGAGTTACTAGCATTTAGAAATATCTTATTTAATGCAACATTGCTCTCTTGAAAATGATTAAAAAAAATATTTTTTGAAATTTGACTTTGGTGACGTTTTCCAATTGATTATCGCATTTATGGAATTAATTATCTGCCGATGAAGAGGGCCTTCAATGCTGCCATGGAAGAAAAGCTTCATATATTATAATTTACTAAAATAGATAGATGTCAACCACAATTTTCAGAGTACAGATCAATAACATTCTAAATTGAAGGTAAACAAACTGTTTCATTAGAAAACACAACTGAACCAAATAAAACACAACATAAGCACTCCTTAAGCTTTAGTTTGACAGAACATTCCAGCGGCGGAATATACTTCACTCATCATCGCAGTCGGACACAGCAGCATCCTCGGTTGCCTGCTTCGAGCTTGTCACTGGCACCAAACCCTAATACCACCAAAAGACAGTAAACAAATTGGCTTTCAACATTCAACATTTTCCATTTTACATCAAAGTGTTGAGCAGAAGTACAATTTTAACATATTAAAAGCTGATAATCATTCATTTACTCATGCTTGTGACTTTTAAAAGCAAGAGGATCGATCTCGGTCCGGTGGTGTATGTCCCCCAAAAAAAATCGGTTATGATGTATTGCATGTTTGGTTAAATTTATTTTGGAAAAATAATCGTTCACTTCTTTAATTTTTGAGAAACAAGCCATGATTTTATTTTAGAAGTAGATGATTATAAAATTGAACCATTGTTAAGGTATAATTATCATGATTTTACCTTCATGAAGATTTTCAGGGCTTCTTCTTTAGTGTGAGTGTTGATGATTTTGAGGGCTGCCTCCTGGGAGAAGATTTTAAGATAAAAAATTGAGAGAAATTGAGGGGAAGGTGTTAGAGAGAACAAAAAAAATGAAAATAACAAAGAAAAAGAACATTAAAATAAAGAAAATCAAACCCTTGCTAAATTCAGCTCCTCCTGAAGTAATGTTTTGGGTTCAGCATCAAGTGAAGGCTTCCTTTCAAGCATGGGAGGAGGAGGAGGCATTGGTGCTATTGGCTTCTCAATAGCGTCTTTCTTCTCTTCTGCTTGCTGCTTCATTTTGGTTTCCACTCACTTACTCTTTCACTCTTGTTGAAGGCTTGCAAATTAAATAGAGTGAGAGGAGCACTTAATCAGTATACTTTTATTTTTCATATTTTTTTAATTTGTAAGTTAAACGCATAGGAAAAACAGGCATCTTTGACTGTAATAATGAAGTGTGTGAGATGCACAGCTGTTGTTCGAAGAGGTGAATTAACGTGGCAGCCATGGCGGGGAAGAAACAGAAATACATATACAAATGGCATAGGAACAGGCGAATATAGGTTTCTTAGACTCTAATAACGCATGAAGCAACCAGCCACACTATAAGCCAAACAATTAAAGGTTACCCTTGCTCGGTTGGAGGTTGGACGATTTACTATTGTTTATTATTTGGAAGTTTCTTCTGTACACCACTTATAATTTTAAAATAAATTATTTTTAAAAAAATAATTTTTTCATTATAAATAATTAATATTTTATTATATTAATAAATTTTTGATAAAAAGTTAAATTTAAAAATTTATTTTAGATTTTTTAACCTAAGTTTAAAAATATATAATAAAAAAATAATTTTTGCAACATAAATAAAATAACATGATAAATATTTACTATTTATAATTTTTTATCATGTATGATTTGATACTGGCTGAAAAGAGTTATACAAGAATGTTTAAAATTGAATTTTTAGTAATTAATTATAGTAAAATTTATTAAGAAAACAATATTTGTTATATTTTTATATAATTTTTTTATAATAAGTTTTTAATTTTAAATTATTAAATCCAGCCTTTGAGATTGAAATAAAATTTATTAAAGAAATCAATAATTAATAATTATTTATAAAATATTATAATATTTATTATTATTAAGGTATTAAATTATATGATATTATATATTTTAAAATATGAAAAAAAAACATAAATATAATTTTTATGGTATTTTTTATATTATTTACCAATTAAAATTAAATTTTTTATTTTAGTAAAAAACCTGTATTTAATTTTGTTACATACTATCAGTTATAACTTTAATTCTGACCGACAAATAACAATAAAAATATTTAAGAAACTATAATTTATATATAAATTGTGAATTTCAATTATTGACCGAGTGTTTTTTAAAAAGATTCTTAAATGAGTGTAAATTTAGGAGTATTTAAAAAAATGTATTTTAGAAATTAGCTTTTTTTATCATACTAATTTTTTTTTAAGATTATAATTTATTTTAAATTTTATATTAATTTAAATTTTTATTTCATAATTTATTTTTAGTTTTATTTAATATAAAATAATTGTTATTATTTATAATTATAATATTTATTTGTAGATTTTATTATATTTAAAAATATTCATAATATATATATATATATAAATTATTTATTTTATATAATTTAATTTAATTTAATAATAGTTACTAAGTTTATCTTTAAAAGGATTCTTAAATGAGTATACTTTTAGGAGTATTTTAAAAAAAAGTATTTTAGAAATTAATTTTTTTTATCATACTAAATAATTTTTTTTTACATTATATGTTTATTTTTTAATTTTATATTAATTTGAAGTCTTATTTATTAATTTCTTTTTAGTTTAATTTAATATAATATAATGTTTACTTTTAAAATTTATTAAATTTAAAAATAGTTATATAATATATGAAAAAATTAGTCTTTTCATCCATTAACTTTAGAGTAAAATTTATTTTCATCTTCTAACTTTTTTTTATTCAATTTAGTCTTTAATTTTTCTTTCTAAAGTTAATTATTTCCATTAGCTCTATTACATGACTTAACAGAGAATTTTTAGGTGATGGTAAGATGGCTTAACGCTGTTTATTTAATTCAATCTGAAATTTTTTGTTTAAAAAATTATCTAAAGATAATAAAATGCGTCTAGGTGGCATTAACTCCTCTACTTACTCTTTCCTTTTTTTTCCGTCCTCTCGCTGCAACTTTCCACCCTTTTCTCCCCAAACTTATCAGCTTTGTCTCTCCCTCTCACAACTCTCATTTCCCCTTCTTACAACATCTTTTCTTTATCCGAAGTAAAATATTCAACTGTCAGATATCATAAATGATTTAAATTTTTAATCTCGTTTAATCTATGATCATAAAAGAACTAAAAACACAAAATCAACCACAAAATAATTGAAAATTTGAGAGAGAGAGAGAAAAGAAAAATTATTCTTAATCTTATTTAAGCTTAGATTTTAGTGTTTATATTTTAAATATTTATTTTTGTTTATTGGGCCTTTTGGAGTGGTGTCAAAATGTTCTTTTTCTTCTCAAAGTGTATTGCTTTAACTTTGCAATGTGTGTTTGTTAGATTGTGTTCTCTTTTTCCATGAGTTGGGGCTTGTGAGTGCACATGGATGTGCTAAAGTTTGAGTTTTTTTTTTTTAAGGATTTAGGTAGTTTTTTTAGTTTACACGAGTTGCTACAACTTAAGGATTTTTGGTTCTGCAATAATTTGTATTTTTTTTCCTATGATTGGAATTCACTTTATGTTTGTCCACGTTGCAATTTTTTGTGGTTTAGGTTAGGAGTTTTCATGTTTTGTTGAATAGATAGGAGAATTAATGATAGGAGAGTGAGAATAGTATATGAGGAGTAACAATATATGTGTTAATAAATAGTAACTTAGGCAACAATGTCTAGTAGGTTGGCAGAAGGGGAAGGGAAAATAAGGGTTGCGGGAGGGGAAGAAAGGGTCGATAGGTTTGAGGAGAAAAGAGTAGGAGAGCTGCGACGAGAAGAGGAAGGAGAGAGAAAAATAAAGTAGGGAAATTAGTGTCACCTAGATTTTTTTTTTTAAAAAAAAATTAGGTTGAATTAAATAAATAGTATTAAGCTATCTCAGCACCAACTAAGATATCTCTACTAGGTTATATAACATAACTAACATAAAGGACTAATTTGAGGGGAAAAAACAAAATTTTGAACACTAAATTGAATAAAAAAAGTTAAAAAATTAAAACAAAATTTATCCTAAAATTAAAGGACGAAAAAATTAATTTTTTCTATAATATATTTAAATTATTTATTTTATAAAATTGTAGTTTAATTTAATAAGACTCATATAGTCTAAAAAAGCCCACTTAATTTATCTTTAAAATATTACATAATAAAACTCTTAATGTTTTAAGAAAAATGAAAAAATAAAAATAGTAGCTCACACTAGTGCAATGGCTAAACTAGGTAACTTGCATAAAAAAAAAATTTAAAAGTATTTTGTTATTAATTATTATCTTTAGACTAATACTAAGTTAAAAGAATTAATTTTATAACAACTTTTTTAAGATAATTTTTGTCTTTTAAATTTTTTTTCTTATTTATGAAGTGTATATTTATTTATTATTTTATAAAATAATTCAAAAAGTACTTGAACTTATAAAAAGAAAGTAGCTACCTAATAATTTACAAGAAAAAATAGAATAAATAATTTTTTTCTTTATACAATATTATTTCTTGTATTTTAATCTTAACGTATAAAAAACTTATATATTAGGTTTTACATAAAAATTTATTTTTAATTTTATCTTTGTCCTTACGATATATTATAACGATGTTAGTTTTCTTTGATAAATAATTATTCAACGTTACATGTTTAATTTTTAAAAAAAATTATATAAATTTCTTTTTTGTAATTTAATTCTTATAAATAAAATATTTATATATTAATCTTTATACAAAAATTTATTTTTAATTTTATTTTTATTTTTATTGTTATAATAACAATACCATATTAGTATTAAGTTTTAAGTGATATTTTTTTTTATCATTTTTAGAGTAATATTTTAAATTTTTCAAATAAATCTTATATTCTACCACTTTCAAATTTTAATTTATCTTTATCATTATTATTCTATTTCATCGTATTTTTATCATAATTTTTTTTATTATCGTTATTTCAATATCTCAAATCTTTAACTATGTTATATTTTAGTTGTTTAAAAATAATAATTTTTTTTCTGCTTTATTAGTATATTTGTAAAAGAATTAGAATTACTTTTTGAATCACTGTTATCGTTATGATAAAAATATCAAAATTAATGTAAATGTAAAAATAAATTAAAATATGAAATATTATTAGGATGATTCTTATAGGTTCAAGACATGAAATATTTATTAATTATTAAATATTAAAATAAAATTTATTAATATAATTTTTGTTTAACAAAATTTAAGCAATTAAAAAATATTGAATATAGATAATAACAAATGACTTAAGCTACTAATACTTTTCTATTGATAATATATAATAATATTTTATATTAATAAATTTGTTTTTTAGTAAAAAATCAAAATATCTCTGTTAACAAATAAATTTTGTATTTAAAAAATTATAGATTAACAGAGGTTAATCCAACAAAAATTCATTAGTAAATGACATTTTTTAATATTAATTACAACCACACTTAAATTTTACTTTAATGTATAATATTTTTTAAATATAAATAAAAATTGAATATAAAGTTACATACTCATAAATATTTAACCTACGATCAAATTAATAAAATTTAATATTTATAAATAATAATTATGTAAATTAATAAATTTTATAAGAGTTACTATAATCCCCACCTTTTATTTTTTTTTTAAATATAGAATTTATAATTTACAAAAATAAATTTTTTTAATTATTTATTTATTAAAAATAGCTTCAAAATTTTCTTTTGTCAAATAGCGACTTCAATTAATCGACGTTTAGTTGACATTGTTTTTAAAGTAATAATCACTCATTTTTATAAATTTTATATAATAATACTAATAAATAAAATATATTTTATAAAAATTAAGCTGAACTTATTTTTCTTATTTGAAAATTTTAATAATTTCTAATGTATGTGGGAATATATATATATATATATATATATATATATATATATATATATATATAAAACGTTTATAAATATAAAAGTGTATAATTAATATTATTTATATTTAATAAATATATACTAAGATAAATAAATAAAATTTTGAGTAGTATATTTTAATTTTAAAATTTTAATATCGATTG